CCATTTGCGCAGTCAGGCTAAGGAAACTTCCAGATAATATTGGTATAGACTCTCCTGCCCATGCAGGGGGCTGGACTAGATGACCTCCAAGGTCCCTTCCAATTTTTTTCCCACTACCCTGAACTCGCCCGATCTCGCCTGATCTCGGAAGCTAAGCAGGGTCAGGCTCGGTTAGTACTTGGACGGGAGACCGTCTGGGAATACCGGGTGCTGTAGCGGAGACGCCTTGAGGTGTCATAAGACATTGGAGAAGGAACTTGATGGGCTATCCAGGGGGTCTCTCCCGGTGCCTCCAGCCCTGCTACCCTCTGCTCCTCCTCTCTCTATTCACCCCACCCTCCAGATTTCTTTTCCCTCTCCAGGCACAGCTCACCCCAGGGGCATCAGGCCCCCAGATCAACGACCAGCCAGCCAGCCAGGAGGAGCCTGCCACAGTCGGGATTACAGAACAAATCAGGTCATGGATGGAGCTGGCTATCCGCCAGGGGATTGTGGAAGGTCTCCAACAGATGTCCAGACCGGATTCTTCCCGAGGGCTCCCGATCATGAGTATCTATCGATCAGGTCCCTGCCTAGATCGGATCCTCCCACGGTCAGGTACCTTCACAGAGGGACAGCCCTCTTCTAAAGGGAACAGGAGGAGGAGAAAGGGGGCCTGAATCAATTCAGGGAGGAGGAAGAATCCGAGTGGGGTCAACTCATTTCAGCGAACCCTTATCGGGGACGGAGCCCATGGAGGGGAGATGCTCGAGGATAAGGATCCCAACCCCGACCATCCACCTTTGAGGGCTTGTTCAAGCCGCACACATATAAATCGCTTCGCCTTAAGGCCAAGTCATCTCCGGCCTGTGCTCATAGTCTTCCTCTGTCCTCCCTTCCTTGGCGGAGGGCCCAGAGGATGCCATTTTCAAGCAGCCCAGGATGAAAGCTACTATCATTCAGGCTCCACCCATTTCCTCCGATCTGGGATCAAAGCAACCGATCTCTACAGGGGCCCTCCCCTCCCCACCCTGCCCGGACAACAGGTTTTTTTCCTTCAACCTTGACTCAGACTTCTCCACCGATTTAATTCCCTCGAGGTTGTTGAGCCCATTGTTGGCTCCGCATCCTCCTCTTCCACTAATGATCCTCTGGAGGCTCTGAAGCCCGAGGACAAGAGGGCCGAACTAGCCTTACGCCGGGCTCCCCGTGCCTACACTTGGGCCATTAGATCGGCTTCGGCCACCTCCTTCTTCACCAGGTCTTCCATCCGGTGGCTTCGCCAACTAAAACAGCATGTCCCCGCCTCTAATCCAAGGGCGCATCAGGACATCGCTGAACACACGACCACAGCAGAATTCTCAGCCACCGCTGACTACCATGAGGTTAACTGTTGCACTAGAACCATAACCCCTCTTGTTACACAGTCAAATTGGTCACGGCTCCCACCAAGGGGGACAGACTCTTCGGCACATCCTTGGAACCTCTGCCAGTCGAGAGCTGAAGCAAGGAACAAGTCCTTCCCTCCCCTTTCAGAGGTCAGTGCCCAGAGCCCCTCAGCCATTTCGGAAAGGGCCCTTTCGACCTTCTTCCAGTCTTTCTCCCCGCCCAGGTACCACTCCTTTCGGCCATCCCATCTCCAGGATCCCCTGACTCGGGCGACAGGAACACGGGGGACGGCTCCTACAGGACACCCTTCAGGGGGTCATGTGGGAGGCCCTTCCGGCGCCCAAAACTGCCCCGCTCCCCCCCACCCCACTGGCGGATGCCTCAGACATGTCGCCGTCCCATGGGGTTCCTCTACTTCCGATGCCCGGGTCCGTGTCACTATTCCGCTCAGACTCACCCTGGAATTCAGCGTCCCCCCCCGATCTTTCCAGGGCACACCCCCCCTCGAGGGATCCCACCAAGCGTAGTTTAATGGATTCCGCTATTCATCCTCTTCACAACATACAGGCTATCCAACTCGTCCCACCCTCCCAACGAGGGTGGGACTGTTACTCACACCTCCTCATGGCCTCCAAATCCTCAGGTGGATGGAGAGCAATCCTAGACCGATATGGCTTAATCGTTTCCTGATTCCCCACAGTTTTCAGCTGCACAGCTTACAGTCCATTCTACTGGGCTCCAGGCGAGGGGACTGGCTCTCTTCTACAGATCTTCAAGAGTATCTAAACATCCCAATCCTGTTACAATCTCCGCCACTCCAATATGTGGCCCTCTCCTTGGGCCGGTATCTGCCCCTAGAACCCTTACCAAGCTCCTCGCGGCCCTAGTGGCTCACCTCAGAAACCTCCCCAGGCGTCTCTACTGCCACCTGGATGACTCCTCATCCTGTCCCACTCCAGACGCCAAGCAGAGAGGGACACCAGAGCTACTGTCGCTGCCCTCCAAGACCACTATTCCTCATAATCTGGCAAGAGCCAACTGTCGCCATCTAATCGGATAACCCCTTGGGGTCCGTAATCATTTCGGTTAAAGGGAAAGGTCCCCTTTTTTCTTCAGAAAGACTCCTTAGCATCCAGAACTCTGTCAAACGTATCCGAGGATCAAAAAAAAAAAAAAAAAGGTAACACTATTAGAAGGGTCTAAACCATTGGGCAAGATTGTCTCAGACATTCCATTATTCCGTGGGCCCGTTTATGCACCAGACCCCTACAGGGTTCCTGCTCCCATTTTTAAGAGCCGGCAGAAGCCATTAGAAATCCTTGTTCCAGGTACCGCCAAAGGTCCTCACGTCTCTTCTTGGGTGGACCAACCCCATCATCGAGGGTCATTACCTCTAGGAGCCCCAACGGCCCACCCTCTCCACAGATGCCAGCCTGTCCAGATGGGGCGCTCTCATCCACTCGCTCACGGCTCAGGGCAAACGGTCAGAGACAGACCGGGCATGTAGTATAGACTAGTTGGAACTCATGCCACTCTTCTGGCCCTTCATAGCTCCCTCCCGCAGGTACGCAGGCATCTTGTCCCTACCCTCACGGGCAGCATCACGGCCAGGCTCACGTTAACAGACAAGGGACCACACAGTCCATACGGTTGATGAGAGAAGCCGAGCGCCCCTGCTACTGGGCGGAGTGCATTCTCCTCACCCTCAAAGCAGAGCTCATTTCTCTTCAAGGAGGAGTCCGCGACCTCCAGCCTACCGATAGGGGACCTCTTGGCATCCCCTCTCAACACACGACTCCCAAGATTCTCGAGGCGCCCCTCCCAGGGGTCAAAAACTACAATGCCCCTGTCACCCCTGGCCCCCAGGGCTTCTATACGCATTCCCTCCATTAGACCTAGTTCCCGGAGTCATTCTAGGTCTGATCCACAAAAGAGCAGAACTGCTTCTGGTGGCCCCCTTCTGGCCCAGGCGTCCAGGATTGCGGTCCTCTGCAACCTATCGGTGGCCCCACTCGGGAAAATCCCTCCGAACGGGATCTCCCCTCCTCAAGGGCCCCTTCTACATCCGGATCCCCAATGGCTCAACCTAGCCGTCGGCAGATTGAATGGAGTCACCTAGGAAGCGAGAAACTCTCTGACCAGGTTATTGATACCATCTTGGCCGCCAGTCGGGCCTTAACTACTCTAATCTACGATGCCACTTGGAATAGTTTCCGCAAATGGGGTCAAAAGTCCCAAGTCAGTTGAATCAATTCTATGTCTCTGTTCCTGCCACGTGAACATCAGTCCTTCTGGGATCAGCCATCTGTAAGTCACCTCCTTTTTCAATAACATTTTGGTCAGGAATCGATATTCTCTTCTCATCTCTCTCACTCTTCTAGGTATTTGTTTTAAGACCAAAATTTCTTTACCTTTATATTTCAATGTCTTCTCTCTTGCCACTTGCAAAATTTGTGTCTTCATGGATTTTTTAGTAAATCTAATATGGACTTCTCTGGGCAGATTATTTCTCATCGCATATCTTGTAAAAACTCGATATATCTCATCTATTCCATCCATCATCTTCTCTTCTGTTATTTCCAAGGCGTCCGCCAAGATTCCTATCATTATCACAGCCAAATCTTGTCCTTTTTCTTCTTCTATATTTTGAAATCTAAGATAGAATTCTGACCTATCCAACTCCCACTTCAGCATCCCACTTTTTTCTTGTTCAATCACTGTTAGTCTATTATCAATATTTCCAATCTTCTCCTCTCTTCGTTTGCCCCCTTCTTCGACTTTTTGAAGTCTCTCCTCATACTTTGCCATCATCTGTTGAATACTTTCCACTTTTTCCTCCGTCCTCCCTGTTCTTTGTTCAATGGTATCTGTTTTTATCTTAAGATCTTGAATTCCTTGCATAGTCATCTGTAAGGTTACTCTTTCTTGTTCTTTTTCTTTATCTTGCTTTAACATTGTCTGAATTGAACGCTGTCCAGATGGTGGGGAGGCAGAGGTAGACACAGAGGCACCCGAAGATATAAGTTTCTTACTCATTTTAAATAGTTCCAGCTCTTCAAGTTCTTTCAAATTTTAATCCAAAAAGAGTAGCCAATTATAATCCAAAATGAAAAAGCCAATAATAAAAAAACCCAATAATAAGGGGAAAAAAAGAAAAAAGAGAAAAAGAAAAAGAAAAAGAAAGGGCAAAAAAAAAAGAAAAAATTCTTCAAGTTCTTCCTGACCTTAATCCAATTAAAAAGTAATCCACAAGAGAAAATAAAAATAAGAATAAAAACCCAGTAATAATAATAATAAACAAGACTAAAGCCAAAAAGAAGAAAAGGAAAAAAAAAACAAAGAGAATAAGTTTCTTCAAATTCCACACCTTAATCCAACCAAAAAAGTCTCAATTGAAAAAAATAAAAATAAAAAAATAGTCCATTGATATACATTAAAAAGAAAAGCAAAAATCCCAATGGAAAGGAAAAAATAAAAAAAATAAAATACATCAAAATAAAATAAAAATGAAAAGTTCAAAGGCTTCCCCTTGCAAATAAATCAAACTTAAAAATAAAAACCTTACTAGAATAAAAATATAGATTGATGCTGGTGGAGGGGGTGACGGAACTAAAAAAAGAGATTAGAAAAAGAAAGTAAGCAACAGTACACTGCACTCTGTTTAATTGTCCAAGGCTCTAATTATGACTCCCTTCTCTTTCCCACAAGCTTCAAAGCTAAACCATAAATGTTTAATTATAGACAAGAATCCAGAAAGACACCTGTAATAATATTCTACAAGGCTCTTTCCTCTATCTTATCAGAAGATGTCCTTGAGAAGGAGTCTTTCACCTCTTTCCAGTTCAAGTAAAATATTTCCAAGCCTCTAGTTGGCAGTGTTACAAAGTTTCTTAGTTCTCACCTTCCCCCCTCCTCTCAGAACAGCATAATTAAAATAAAAATAAAAAGCCTGCAAGGAATACACAAACATATAAAGGCAAAAAAATAAATAAATAAACAAAGGGAGCCTCTAGCCTTAAAGAAGAAATACTATGAAAAATCCAAAGGGAGAATAAAATATATAAATATAAAAAGGAACAGTCCAGTTATCCAGTAAATAACAATGAAGTCCGGAAGCAAAGAAAAAAAAAAGCAAGTAAAGCCTCTCTTTGACGTCTCCCTTGGAAAAAACGCCGCTTAGTCAATTTTGTCAAAAAAAAAAATCACACAGATTTCTTCTAATAATCAGAGTGAACTTGCAAAACTCAAAAAATTAAATAAAAAAAAAAGTTTCTCACCCAACCGACAGACTCTCTTTCAGACCCGTTCTTTCTGGAGCCGCCCCGACTTCAGCAGCATGGGGGCTGCCTCTCCGCTGCCAGCAAAAAGAGCTTCTCCCGGGTCACCCAGGGATTTTGCGATATCCCCGGAGTCCACAGGATACGCTCTTCACAATAGCAGAATTTTTTTGAGGGAGAGAAGGAGAGGCAGAAAAGGAGGTTTCATTAATTGAACCTCAAGAGGAACAAATGGAGATTGGAAAAGAAGAAGGTGCAGTAGGTGGACAGGTGGATATTAAAGATCAGCGTGAATCAAGACCCACGAGAGTGGTTAAATCTAAATATAAAATATAACCATGGAAGAGAAAAAACTGATTACAATGAATATAAATGGACTGAATTCAGCTGCTAAGAGAAGGAAGATTTTCCATAAATTAAGGAAACTAAAGTTTGATATAATTTGTCTACAAGAAGTACATATTAAAAAGCAACATGAACAATTGTTAGTACAACCAAAATTAGGGAAATTGTTTACTTCTTTGACTCAATGTAAGAAAAGAGGGGTGGTTTTATATATCAAAGAGGCTATCCCAGCAAAACTGATTTATACAGATGAAGATGGGAGAATATTAATGGTGGAAATAATGGACAATAATAGAAAGATACTTTTGATTGCAATTTATGCCCCGAATGATAAACAGGAAGAATTTTATAAAAAATTACATACAAAGATGGCTGGACTGGACTATGTTAATATAATTATGATGGGAGACTTCAACGGAATCGTGGACAATAAACTTGATTATATTGCAACAACAGCAAAGTATAATAGAAAAACTCTTCCTAAATCTTTTTTTAAAATGATAGATGAATTAACTCTAAAAGACATATGGAGAGAAAGAAATGTTAAACTTAAGCAATATACGTTCTATTCAAATAGACATTTATCATGGTCCAGACTTGACATGATTTGGATTTCAACAGACTTAATATCTAGCGTTCAAGAAGTAAATATTGAAACAAGTACTTGGGCTGATCATAACCCATTGACAATCAAATGGAAGGGACAAAAAAAAAGATCGAGATGGACATTAAATAATACTATTTTAAAGGAGAAAGAATTTATACAATGGATGGAGAAAGAATTGGCTTTTTTTTTTAAAGAAAATAGAAAAGAAGACACTTCAATACAGAATGTTTGGGATACAATGAAGGCTTATGTCAGAGGCTTGATAATAGATTATACAAGAAAAAAGAATATTAGGAAAAGGCAAGCTTTTAAAGCTTTGGAGGATGAATATAAAAGACTCGAAAAAGAACTGCAGAAAATGCCACAGAAAAAATACGTTAAACTGAAACTGGATATAACTAAACATAAAATGGACTTAATAGAGAAAGAAGAACTGGCACAGAAAATTAGGAATGCCAAACAGAATTATTTTGAAGATGCAAATAAGCCAGGTAGATGGCTAGCATATAAGTTGAGAAAGGAGAAAGAGTCGAGGAAAATATTGCAGTTAATAGATGACCAAGGTAAAACTTGTTATGGCAGCAAAGAGAAAAAAGAAATTATTCATGACTTTTACAAACATTTATATAAGAAAGAAGATATTGATGAGGAGAAAGTTAAACAGTACCTGCAGAATGCAAATCTACCTAAGATACCTAAAGAGATTGAAGAAATGCTAGAAAGCAATATAACAATGATGGAGTTAAGCCAAGCACTTAAGAAACAAAATAATGGAAAGACACCAGGTCCAGACGGGTTTCCTGTAGAATTTTATAAAACCTTTCAAGAATCACTGTGTATTCCATTGTTAGAAGTTATGAATGAAGCTATGTTAAAAAAGATGATACCTAAAACATGGTCAGAGGCCTATATTACACTTATTCCAAAAGAGGAGGCGGACCTACTTCAAATTAAGAATTATAGACCGATTTCTTTATTAAATGCAGATTATAAAATCTTTGCCTCAATATTAGCAGAAAGACTTAAAAAATACTTGAATAACTTTATTCATCCAGATCAAAATGGGTTCTTGCCAAAGCGACAAATTAGAGACAATATGAGAGTAATTCTGGACACCTTGGAATACTATGAGGCGCATCCTGAAAAGCAAATGGCTTTGATATTTTTAGATGCTCAAAAGGCATTTGATAACGTGAATTGGAGATTTATGTTACTTTTAATGGAGCAGATGGGCTTTGCTAGAAGATTTATCCAGGCAATAGAAGCAATTTACAATGAACAAACAGCTAAGGTAATGATGGAGGGAGAATTTACAGATCCTATTAATATAAGAAAAGGCACAAGACAAGGTTGTCCTCTTTCTCCCTTGCTATTTGTATTGACTTTGGAAGTGTTGAACAGAAATATCAGAGAAGATAAAACTATAAAAGGAATGAAAATTAAAAAGGAAGAATTTAAACTACAAGCTTTTGCAGACGACCTAGTCTTTATCATGGAAGATCCTATAGAAACAGCTTTGAAGCTGTTGGAAAAGATAGAGGCATATGGGGAGGTGGCCGGTCTGAAAATAAACAAAGATAAAACAAAGATTTTGTCAAAGAATATGTTGCTAAGACAAAGAGAAGAACTGGCAGAATTGTTAAAAATCCAAGTTACAAATAAGGTTAAGTATTTGGGGATATATTTGACGCCAAGATGTAGTACATTAAAGGAGAACAATTATATTAAACTTAAACAACAGATAGCCCAAGATCTGAAGAAATGGGAAAACCTACAATTGTCATTAATAGGAAGGATTTCAACAATTAAGATGAATATTTTACCCAGAATTTTATTTTTGTTTCAAACAATACCAATTAGGCTTGGAAAAGACTATTTTGAGGATTTAAACAAAATTGTTTTGAAGTATATATGGCAAGGCAAGAAAGCAAGGATAAAGTTAAAGCTTTTACAGGATGCCAGAACTAGAGGAGGGTTTGGCCTGCCTAATTGGGAGTTGTACTACCAAGCTGCAAATTTGATGTGGGTTAAAGAATGGATAACATTAAGGAAAACTAGATTGTTGACATTAGAAGGTCATGATTTGTTGTTGGGTTGGCATGCTTTTTTATGGTATAAGGGAACCAAAACACAGGGGTATTTTAGAAGACATTATATACGGGAGTCTCTGTGGTTAAATTGGGAGAAGACAAAAAAACAATGTTATTTGAAAATTCCAGTTTGGTTATCGACGATAGAAGCGTTTTCTTACCCTATAATTTATAAAAAGGAACAAACAGTTAGTTATGGGGAATTACTAGATGAAAAGGGTGAACTTAAATCGATACAAAAATTAGAGGAACAAGGTATACAGATGAATTGGTTTTCATATTTGCAAATACATTCAAGGTATCATGAGGATTCCAAAACAGAGGGATTTTATGATAAACAAACTGATTTAGATAAGATTTTGATGGGTACTGATGAAAAGGTGATTAAAAAATTATATGGTTACTTATTGGAAATTAAGCTGGAGGAAGAACAAGTTAAAGAAACTATGATTGCCTGGGGGAGGAATTTTGGATATGGGATTGACTTAGATAAATGGCAGAAATTATGGTTGCAAAACTATAAAATGACAATGTCTACAGCCTATAAAGAAAACTTGTATAAGATGTTTTACAGGTGGCATTTTCCCCCGACAAGGATAGCAAGAATGTTCAAGAACAAATCCGAAAAATGCTGGAAATGTCATCAGAAACCTGGTTCATACTACCATATGTGGTGGACTTGTGAGGATGCTAGAAAATATTGGACTAAAATCCACATGTGGTTGGAAAAAATGACAAAGAAGCACATAGACTTGAAACCGGAGCTTTTCTTATTGGGAATCTTACCAGATGTTTATAGTAAAGAGTTGAAATATTTGATTGTAAATGTATTGACTGCGGCTAGGATTGTATTTGCAAAAAATTGGAAAAATGAGAAAATTCCATTGCAGGAAGAAGTTATAAAGAAAATATTGGAATGTACTGAGATGAGTAGATTGACTTTTGAAATCAGAGAGCAAGAGGATAAACAATTTTATATAATTTGGGATCTTTTCTATCAATGGCTGAATGATGAAATACAAAAATAGAATATTTGAAATGTTAGACAATAAGGAATAATATTGATTTCACTTTTCTTTTCTCTTTTTCGGTATTGGATATTATATTTATATAATGGTTTTCTTTTTCTTTTTTTCTCTTATTTAGGATAGAACTGGCACGACTATATGATTTGTTTTTAGAATAAATTACTTAAAGTATAGTTGTCTCACAAAGGCATGATTGAATAAAAGTATAGTCAAACTTTTTTTTTCTTTAATAATGATATGATGATTTATAAGTTTGTATTGACAATAAGAGTTATTATGTAAGGTAATTGTAATTGTGACTATGAAATGAATGCACAAAACTGATGAACCAACCGACTCACTGTTTGTATATAAATACGGGAGAGCTGATGTTTTTATGTTTTGTCTGTTTGTTTGTATGTTAAAAAACAATAAAAAATTTTATTAAAAAAAAAAAAAGTCCCAAGTCAGCCTTTTTCACCCTCCATCGCTAGATCTTACTTGTCACAGGCTCTGCCAGGACCCAGCGGAATAACAGCACATCTCACCAAAAGTGAGGCCACCTCGGCAGCTTGGGCCACCACGGCCCCAGTCACTGACATTTGCCAGGCCTCCACCTGGGCCTACCCATCTCCCTTCAGGAGGCCTTACAAGATCGGCACATTGCCTCAGCGGAGGCCTCGTTTGGCAGACGAGTCCTACAGCGGGTCCTCAGGACCCGGAGGGGCTCCCGAACCAGATGGAGTCCCTCCCGTAGGAACAGCCAAGCTTTGGTATGTCCCACTCTCTGGATGATCCAAGCAGCTCTAAGGAGAATGAGGGTTGGTTCTTACCTGACACGCCATTTCTCTTCGAGCTGTGAGGATCATCCAGCCCCACCCTATTCTTTCACCGTCTGGTGGGGTCTTGTTTCGGCCAATGAACCTTAAATCTAGTAAGATCAGAATACAAATTTCTCTTTCCTCTCGCTTTCGCATAAACTGGGGAACGCTGTAACGGGGCCACGTGATGGAAGGCGGAGCGTTCCTCAGTAATTAAGCTCAGCCTACAACGACATAGACTGAAGCACCACCCACTCTCTGGATGATCCTCGCAGCTTGAAGAGAAATGGCGTGTCAGGTAAGAACCAACGCCCATTCCATTCTCTGTGTTTACAAAGAGATGGAATGGCTTTTCCAAATTTGGCAAACTTAATACAGGAGTTTTGGTTAAAGCTTGTTTCAAATTTTCAAAGCTTCCCCTTTCATTTCCCTCCCATTTCAAATTCCAAGGTTCACATTCCATTAGCTTTGCATACAGAGGTTTGGTAAGATCAGCATACCCATCAATCCAGAGCCTGCAGTATCCCAGCAAGCCTAAGAATTTCCTTAGTTCTTGCTTGTTTTGGGGTAAGGGTTGGTGCACCACCCCTTCTATTTTTCTATAGAAATTGAGTACTGTTTTTGCTTAACTACTCAGTTTGGATTCTTGAGTGTTATTTTAAGTAGAGTTCAAAACCCTCATAGGAATTGTCTTTACTGGCCCAAGTTCAAATTTCAATTGAAGATCTGCCAGTATATATATATATATATATATATATATATATATGTATGTATGTATGTATGTATATATGTATATATGTATATGTATATGTATATGTATATGTATATGTATATGTATATGTATATGTATATACACACACACACACACACACACATATATACATATACATATACATATATATATATATGTTTTTGCGGGTACTTACATGCATGGCACTCAGCTCTGTTCAGGTATTTTCCCACGTCATTGTAGTTGTGCTTTTAAAATTGTAGCAACGTTTTGGTAGAATCTCATCTGCCATCATCAGGCTTCTGTATAGTGTTCATCTATGAGTCAGACTTTTACAATGGTTTCAGATTTAAATTTGGGGCAGCCTATTGCTGTGCCAGAATGGTTTTTTCTTCATCCTGATTGGTTGGGCGTCTTGGTCTGTGTTTATTGGTCTTGGAGTTTGTTGTGTTCTGCTTGATTGGTGTTTCTAATATCTTCTGTCTGTTTTTTTGGCTCTTTTTGTATCTTGATTGGCTGGCAACATTGTGTTACTTTATTGGAGGCCTTTAGTGCAGTTTGGCTCTGGGTAAATGGACGGCTATCATTAGTTAGGAAGCTAGGTTTCATCTGGGTGCCTGGTTGGGGTGTGTTTGAGCTGGAGGTATCAGGGGGGATCTGTTTGTGCCCAGGTGTTTGCCTGGCTTGTGGTGTGGAGATTTTTTTGTTTGTGAGTTGAGGCTTCCAAATGATTGACAGTCTGGTGGAATCATCTCTTCTATTCATGCTTTCTGGTCTTTTTTCAATCTCTATGGCTTCTCTGATGATTCTGTGGCTGGGGTTTTCTATAGTGGCTAGGGTTTTGGTGCCATTGAAGTTGATGCTATGACCTGTGGCTTCCATGTGTTGGACTAGTGAGGAAGTGTGTTCCAGCTTTTTGACTGCATTTTTGTGTTCATCCAGGCGGGTACTTATTCTTCTATTGGTCTGTCCAATGTATGTGGCCGGGCATGATGCACAGGGGGCTTCGTATATGCCTTGGTTTTCCAGGTCAATTTTATCTTTGGCGTTTCTAAGGATGGCTGCTATTTTTCTGTCTGTTTTGAAGGCAGTCTTGATGTGATGTCTGTGTAGTATCTTACTAATTTTGTCTGTAGTACCTCTTATGTAGGGCAGGACAGCTGTTCCATAGGTCTGTTCATCTTCTGGGTCTCTATTATGTCTCAGTGTGTTTTTGAGGATCAAGCCGGTGATTTTGCTTTTGTGGAAGCCGTTGGCTGTCAGTACTTTAGTCAGGGTGCATAGTTCAGTCTTAATGTGTGTCTTGTCTGCCAGGCATTTGGTTCTAGTAATTAGTGTTTTAGCCACGGACTTTATCTGTGCTGGGTGGTGGTGGGATTGGGCATTGAGGTAGCGGTTAGTGTGTGTTTTCTTCTGGTATACAGTGTGTCCTACTGTGCCATCTGTTTTTTTGTAGATTAGTACATCTAGGAATGGTAGTTGTTTGTTTGTTTCCATTTCCATGGTGAACTTGATTTTGGGGTGTGTGCTGTTTAGGTGTGTTAGGAAATTGTTTAGGTTTTCTTTTCCATGGGGCCAAATCACAAATGTATCATTGATGTATCTTAACCATAGTTTGGGTTTGTGGATGGCATTGGCCAGGGCTCTGGATTTGAATTCTTCCATGAACAGGTTGGCAATGACGGGTGACAGTGGTGATCCCATAGGGGCTCCTTCAATTTGTTTGTATCTTTGTCCTTTGTATATGAAATATGTGTTGGTTAAGCAGTGTTCTGTTAGTTCCATGAGGTGTTTAGCTGGTTGGTATTTATTTTTGATGATTTCAAGGGTCTCTTTTATCGGGACTTGAGTGAACAGTGAAACCATGTTGAAACTTACAAGCAGATCTTCTTGCTCCACATGTAGATCTTTGATCATTTCCAAGAAGTGGTATGAGTTTTGTACATATGAAGCTGCTGTTTCTGCACGGGGCTGTAGCTGTTTTGCTAAGTGTTTAGCTAGGTTTTGTAGTGGTGCTCCTCTGGAGCTGACTATGGGTCTGAGAGGTATGCCTTCTTTGTGTATTTTTGGGAGGCCGTATAGTTTGGGGCATCTGGAAGATTTTTCTCTTGGGATGATCGTTTGTTGGATCTCTTTGCTCATATGGCTGGTTATAATTTTCTTCTTGGTTAATTTTTCCAGATATGTGGTTGGGTCTGTGTTTATGGGTTTGTATGTGGGGTCTTGGAGTAGGTCTGTCAATTTTGTTTCATAGTCTTTTCTGTCCATTACTACTGTGGCATTCCCTTTGTCTGCTGGAAGTATGATTATGCTGCTATCTCTTTTCAGGGTTTGTAGCGCTTTAATTTCTTCTTTCTGCAAGTTGCTTTTGGGTGGTTTGCTTGTGCATAGGATGTTGGTAACTTGGTGTCTTATTTTATCAGCTTCATCTGTATTTAATTTGGTTAGGCTGGATTCTACTGCACATATGATGGATTCTGTGGGGAATTTTTTGGGTGCTATAGCATAATTGAATCCTTTGGTTAGGACATCTGTTTCTGTTTTGGTGAGTTCTCTGTTGGAAACGTTGTATACTAATTGTTTCAGGTGTTGTTGTGAGTTGTTGGGGGTTTTCTTGTCATGTTCTAATTTCTTTAATATTTCAAGAGTTTATCATTTTTGTAAGTGGTTTCAGATTCAGCTCTCCAAGTTGTAAGTTGTTTTATCTTGTCCCAAAGTAGAGGGTGGATTTTGCTGATCAGTTCCAGGTGTAGTGCTAGCAAATCTTTGTTTAACTGATCTAATTGGAATCTCTTACTGTGGAGCTCGTTCCTTAGTAGAGCCATTTCAGTTCTTTTCAGGATACGTTTAGTGGCTGCTGTGCTTTGATGAAATGTTAATTTGAAGCAGGTTGGTGTTGTATTGTTGTCTCTGCAGCTGTGTAGGAATTGGAGGTCACATAATATTCCTGCTCTTTTAATTTCCAGTTTCTCGTAGGTTTTGATCTGGCTGTTTATTTCCTCCCCGTAGAGGTTTGATATTTGTTTTCTTAAGTTTTCGTGGGTACTTACATGCATGGCACTCAGCTCTGTTCGGGTATTTTCCCACGTCATTGTAGTTGTGCTTTTAAAGTTGTAGCAACGTTTTGGCAGAATCTCATCTGCCATCATCAGGCTTCTATATATATAACATTTCTATCTCTATCTTTTTATTTTGTCCTTTTACTCCTAATTGGAGGGGCATTAATTTGGATATTTCAAATCCTTCCCTTTTACTTCGGATACTCTAATACTTTGTCCACTTAATTTCATCTCTTCAGTTAATACTTATATTGAAGTTCTCGCTGCTCCAGTGTCAATTAAAAACACTTTTTCTTCCTTAGATCCCACTACTAAATTTATCAAGGGGTCTCCCTTTTGATTCTCAAAGGGGAATCACCCCTGACACCCCTAGTATTGACTTCCATCTTATACACTTTCACCTCCCTTCTTTGGATATGGCAGTCTTTCCTGCAATGTCCAGGCTGGCTATACCCAAAACATCTCCTCACTCTGTCCTCTCTGCCCATACCACCACGTCCTCTTCCCCTTATCACTTGGTTCCACCCTCTCTTTCCCTCATTTCTATTGACCCATTTTCTCTAACTCCTTCTTTAATCCTTGATAGATAGGGTCTAGCATTTTGGACAAAAATGCCACTGGCTGTTTAAAAGCCATTCCCTTATCTGTGTAGCACTAGGCTTTTCTTCTAGTAGTTTTGCAGGTCTTTCACAGCCTACAATATCCAGGCAATCCTAAAAATTTTCTTTCTCTTTCTACATATTGTAATTTCTAATTCATCTCTGTAACAATTCCTAACAGGGCAACAATTTGTGTTGCGAACAAACAAACAAATTAGGTATTTTGAGTCAACCCTCTGAAATATATTTGGGTCAAACGTTAGTGCCAATTTTCTGCTTTAGGAAAAATATGGATTAAAAGCATATACAGAGTGCGCCTGGTTTGACTTTTGATTCCCTTGCTGAGCTGAGCTCCATTGTAACTAAACTGGGAGCTGACCCAGTGCAAGGATCTTCTCTAGTTAGACTCAATTTGGTAAATAATTTTCTACAGGGTGGTTTTCCCCATCTTTCAAGTAATTGTTCTAGGGGACTTGAAATCTCAATTTTTAACTTCAGGTTTTTCTGAATCTTCTTTACACACTTCTTTTGGGACCCATTTGAATTGTCCATGGCTAGTTACCAGACTGGAATAATCCTTACCAACTTGTTCCAGTGAGACCTTCGCAGTTGGCACTGGGCCAGGGCAAAAGACACCCTTTACTGCCACTAAAGTTTTGATCTGTCTCTGCCCTGGAGAACCTGAATCTCCCAGCAGACGCTGGCTTATTTTAAAGATCCAAATTCTTTTCTATCAACTTAGAATCTCCCAGCAAACGCTGGTTTATATTTAAAGATCAAGTTTTATAGAGAAAATCAAAAGTCAGTTCCACACACCTCTCACACAAGTCTCAGATTCTCATAGCTCTACCTAACCTTCCCAACTGCCTAAACCCTAAGGGCAGTGTGTTCTCACCAGAACCACGTATTCTTACTTGACCAGAACTACATACCCCTAGGTCCATGCATGGAGTTGTCCAGTTGTTCTGGCAATCTCATCAACCTGGTCCTTCCTTCTCTTTTTCAGTTTTCAACCGATCGCTATTTAAAGCAAGGATCTGTGTCTTGTTCTGTGTTCCTGAACAGCTGACCCGACTGTGGATCTTTGTAAATCAACAGGGCATGCCTTCCTCACCTGACTCTGCTGCCCAGGGCCTCAGAAGAGAAAAACAGATTGCCTGCATTCTCCAGCAATTGTTGGAACTAACTCAAAGTCAACAAAAAAACTTGGATCGTTGAAAACAAAGAGGATTTATTAAAAAGAAATAACAGACAGTTTGCAAAGTGCCGGTGGTCTTTAGAACCTCAACAAACAGATTACTAATGGTGGAAATAATGGGCAATAATATGAAAACACTCCTGATTGCAATCTATGCCCCGAATGACAATCAAGAAGAATTTTATAAAAAATTACATATGAAAATAATTGAACTGGACTATGCTAATATAGTTATGATGGGAGACTTTAATGGAATTGTAGACAACAAACTGGACTATACAGCACAGAAAACAACAAAGCAAAACAGAAAGACTCTCCCTAAATCTTTTTTTAAAATGATAGATGAAATAAATTTAAAAGATACATGGAGAGAAAAAAATGCTAAGACTAAACAATACACCTTCTATTCAAATAGACATTTATCATGGTCCAGAATAGATATGATGTGGATGTCAACAGAATTGCTAGCTAATATTCAAGAAATAAATATTGAAACAAGTACTTGGGCAGACCACAATCCAATGACAATTAAATGGAAAAGACAAAGAAGAAGATCTAGATGGACGTTAAATAATATATATTAAAGGAAAAAGACTTCACACAGTGGATGGAGAAAGAACTGGCTTTCTTCTTTAGAGAAAACAAAAAAGAAGACACATCAACGCAGAATGCATGGGATACAATGAAGGCATATGCCAGAGGCTTGATAATAGACTATACGAGGAAAAGAAACACCATGAAAAGACTAGCCTCTAAGGCATTAGAGGATGAGTATAAAGGACTTGAAAAAGAGCTACAGAAAATGCCACAGAAAAAGGACATTAAGTTAAAAATGGATATAATTAAACATAAAATGGGACTAATAGAAAAAGAAGAACTAGCACAGAAAATCAGAGATGCGAAACAGAACTACTTTGAAGATGCAAATAAAACAGGTAGGTGGTTAGCATATAAATTGAGAAAGGAGAAAGCATCAAGGAAAATATTGTAATTAATAGATGATCAAGGCCAAGTCTGCTATGGTAGTAAAGAGAAGAAGGAAATTATACGAGACTATTATGGGAAACTATACACACAAGAGAATATTGATGAGGAAAGACTTAAACAGTACTTATAGAATGCTAATCTACCCCAGATACCTAATGAGATTGAAACAATGTTAGAAAGCAATATAACGATGATAGAGTTAATTGAAGCACTCAAGAAGCAAAGCAATGGAAAGGCACCAGGCCCAGATGGACTTTCGGCAGAATTTTATAAAACACTACAAGAATCGTTGAACCTTCCATTGCTAGAAGTTATGAATGAAGTTATGTTATAGAAGAAGATACCAGATCATGGTCAGAAGCTTATATTACACTTATCCCAAAAGAGGAGGCCGATCCATTACAAATCAAGAACTATAGACCTATTTCCTTACTAAACGCAGATTATAAAATTTTTGCTTCAATATTGGCAGAAAGACGTTAAAAATACTTAAACAATTTTATCCATCCTGATCAAACTGGATTTCTGCCAAAGAGACAAAATAAAGACAATATGAGAGTAATCTTGGACACTTTGGAATACTACGAGGCACACCCTGAAAAACAAATGGCTTTGGTATTTTTAGATGCACAGAAGGTATTTGATAATGTGAACTGGTGATTCATGTTAGTACAGCTGGAACAGATGGGCTTTGGTAAAAAAATTATTCAAGCAATAGAAGCCATATATCATAACCAAACGGCAAAGGTAGTGATAGAGGGAGAACTGACAGACTCTACTGATATAAGAAAAGGAACAAGACAAGGGTGCCCACTATCACCTCTGTTGTTTGTGTTAACCTTGGAAGTGTTAAACAGAAATATTAGAGAAGAAAAGGATATAAAAGGGATGAAAATTAAAAAGGAAGAATTTAAGTTGCAAGCATTCGCAGATGATCTGGTTTTCATTTTAGAAGATCCACTTGAAATGGCATCAAAATTGATAGAAAAGATAGAGGTATATGGAAAGGTGGCTGGTTTGAAAATAAATAAAGATAAAACAAAGATCTTGACAAAGAATATGCTATCAAGACAAAAGGAAGAACTAGCGGATGTATTTAAAATTCAGGTCACGAATAAGATCAAGTACTTGGGGATACATTTGACAGCAAGATGTAGTACACTAAAAGAGAATAATTATATCAAACTTAAGCAGCAGATAGTGCTAGATTTGGCGAAATGGGAAACTATTAACTGTCATTAATAGGGAGAATATCAACAATCAAGATGAATATACTACCCAGAATTTTATATTTGTTCCAAACAATTTCAGTTAGGCTTGGAAAATATTATTTTGAAGATTTAAATAAAATTGTGTTGAAATATATATGGCAAGGTAAGAAAGCGAGAATAAAGTTAAAACTTTTGCAAGATGCCAGAATAAGAGGATTTGGTTTGCCTAATTGGGAGTTGTATTACCAAGCTACAAATTTGATGTGGGTTAAGAAATGGATAACATTAAGAAATACTAGATTGTTGACATTAGAAGGACATGATCTGTTGTTGGGGTGGCATGCTTTTCTATGGTATAAAGGAACTAAAACACAGGGGTATTTGAGAAGACGCTATATACGGAAGTCTCTGTGGTTAAACTGGGGGAAGACTAAAAGGCAATGTTATCTGAAAATTCCAGTCTGGCTATCAACTATTGAAGCATTTTCTTATCCTATAATATATAAAAAGGAACAAACAGTTAGATATGGTGTAATATTGAATGAAAAGGGTGAACTTAAATCAATGCAAAAATTAGAGGAACAAGGTATAAAGATGAATTGGTTTTCATATACGCAAATACATTCAAGGTATGACAAAGATTCTAAAACAAAAGGTTTCTATGATAAACTGACTGACTTAGATAAGATTTTGACAGGTAATGTCAGCCTTCAAGATCTTTTCTACTGCTTTGCATCTTTTGGCTGCCATAAGTAACGGGGGGAGGGATATGTCTGGGAAGAGAGCTGGAAGTGTTACATTCTTGTGTTGTGTAAATGAGGAGTGGGGGGGAGTATAAATTCCTGCTGTTAAGTTTCTATTCCTTGCTTAGCTTTCTTTTCTCTGCACAACTGCAAATTCTTTATCAAAATATGTCAAGGTCAACGGACAGAGGCCTCATCACCACCTGAAGATGCTCACACGATCATATTCACAACTTTTAATTGGAAGACTCATTTGAACTATGAGGGGTGGGAACGTTTCCAACACTTTGTATATGTGGTCTGCGCGCCTAATTTCTTAGATTCAGAATTCTATTTGATGCTACCACTTCATTTTCAGTAAAAGATTTCTTTGCTCTAATCTAAGGAGTCTAAGTTTTTCTTTCTTGAATTTTGAATGGAGCACCACCAGACAGGTACTGATGAAAAGGTGATTAAAAAATTGTATGGATATTTATTAGAAATTAAACTAGAAGAAGAACAAGTTAAAGAAACTATGATTGCTTGGGGGAAGAATTTTGGATATGGGATTGATCTAGAGAAATGGCAAAAACTGTGGTCTCAAAATTATAAAATGATAATGTCAACAGCATTTAAAGAAAATTTGTATAAGATGTTTCACAGGTGGCATTTCCCCCCAACAAGAATAGCAAGAATGTTCAAGAACAAATCTGAAAAATGTTGGAAATGTCATCAAATACCTGGTTTATATTACCACATGTGGTAGACTTGTGCGGATGCTAAAAAATATTGGACTAAAATCCACACGTGGTTGGAAAAAATGACAAAAAAGCATATAGACTTGAAACCAGAAATATTTTTCTTGGGAATTTTACCTGAAATA